ACACAGCCAAATTTTCATTTCAATGAGAGAAAGTAATAAGAACATTCTCAGGCACACAAGGCCTCAGAAGTTTAACACACAAAAATCCACAATGAAAATACCTTTAAAAGAAGTGTTTATGTAAGAGAAACAAATCCAGGAGAACCTTCAAGAGATATGAGATGTCAGGGTGATCAAATATTTTGATAAATTTATTGCTGTTTAAAAAAATTAAAAAGCTAAGACTGAAGAAGAGAATGTTTATCCAAAATAACTAATGTCAAAAATTCCAGGGGCTTCCCTGGTGGCGCAGTGGTTAATAATCTGCCTACCGATGCAGGGGACACGGGTTCGAGCCCTGGCCCGGGCAGATCCCACATGCCGTGGAGCAGCTAGGCCCGTCTGCCACAACTACTGAAGCCCGCGCGCCGTGCTCCGCAATAAGAAAAGCCACTGCAATGAGAAGCCCGTGCACCGCAACGAGGACCCAACGCAGCCAAAAATAGAAAAATAAATAAAATTAATTTATTAAAAAAAAAATTCCAAACAAGAACAACATGATGGGGGAGGAGAGGGAGACAAAAGGGGTATTAAAAAATGCTAATGCATTTGACTTGCTAGAAGGGAGGTATATATACTTAGAAGTTTAAGAAACCAACAGTTGTGGGAATTTTCATCAGGAGTTAAAGTGTTCTTTGATAATAGTCAGGGATGGAAGAAGTGGGGTCATTAAATACAGATGGGTATCATTCCCAGCACCCCAGTTTATAGTATAGCTGGAAAAGAACATCCCAAGAGAAGCCAGAAGTCCAAACTTTTAGCACCATGTTTTGCCCTTATCAGAAGTATGAATAAGAGACGGAGAAATACAAAACCCTACCCCACTGCCCAGATTAAGCAGATTTTACTGACATCAGTATTTTGAATTGCCCCCTTTGTGGTTATCCTGAGGTTCTTATACCCTGGGACAATGCATCTTAGTAAGATTCAGGGTGGCATTTCATTGTTTAAATGGGGGAGGGAACATGACTGTGAAAGGGACAAATGGTGTGATGTTCTAAGGCAGGTCCTTATCAGGCAGGTCAGTGTTAATGGAGTGCATAGAAAAATGGACAGGCTGGAAAGTAATCTCTAAAACTACCCGTGCCTGAGCACCCTTGGAATATCTGCACGTACCCTCTAGTACTCATGCTCTGTAGGAACAGTGATGGGTCATTATGAATGAATGGAGAATTTTTTTAAAATTAATTTATAAAGTCACCAACCCAGAATTTAAAAATCTTGCCTCAAGCGAGTCAGAGCCTCTAAAAATGTCCTAAAAGATCTCTTTTGTCTTAGAGCTCCTGAACACAAGCAGCTAAAATCCAGACGCAGCGTCTGATACTGTGGTAATCTATATTATAACGTAAGATGAATTTACAAACTGTCAACTTAAAAAATGCACAGTGGGCTTCCCTGGTGGCGCAGTGGTTGAGAGTCCGCCTACCGATGCAGGGGACACAGGTTCATGCCCAGGTCCGGGAAGATCCCACATGCCGCGGAGCGGCTGGGCCCGTGAGCCATGGCCACTGAGCCTGCACGTCCGGAGCCTTGCAGAGCCGGTATATATATATATATATTAATTTTTCAGCCGGGAAATACCTATAGTCAAGCATACATCTTTGTAAAAGATTACTGCTAATGACAAAGAATAGATATCTATGTCTGGGAAGATACAAGAATTGGGGATCACTGAAATTCTTCCTCAAATGTGCGTCTTAATTATCTAGGGTCCCGTGTATCCAAAGCACAGAATGTCTCATCACGTTTTTCCCGTCGGGAATCCTGCTCAGGGTGCACCACTGGTGGACAACTATAGTGGGTTATGACTTAACCCTTTGTATAAGGGGATGAGTGACACCCTTTGTTCTTTTTGTTTACAAAACGAATCCTGTCTCTTACGAGAAAGTTATGGCATTGATGAAGAACATATGGGACCTTGGGAATTAGGATGGGGGAATCTAGGTGGATTTCAATCTGAGTACCTGGCATTCCTAAAACTCACTGGGTCTCCCTTCCCAGTAGAGGCAGCTTCTTCCTTCCATCCTCTGATCCCTTGCTGGTACTCTCTATTAGCTGAGCCAGCAGGAAGCCAGCTGACAGGGAAGGCTAGGAAATGCAACCCACTGGGGTCAGCCTGCTTGTGATGCAGAACACAAGAGGGGAAGAGTGAGGAATGGCTCTGGAGGCAAATACGCCCAGGACAGGACACCCCTGTGCTTTCTGCATGTGCCACTGATGTCCAAAGTTCTGCCATGGCCTGTCTCTGTCAGGTGGATCTACTTTGCATCTTCCTCATCCCAGGTCTCATCTGGTGTGCTTTGCTCTCACACTAGCCCTCTTGGAGGGCTTTGGAAGTCTTGCCTCCTTTGGCTGAACCATGCTGGGGTTTGAGGGCTTGAGGGCTTGAGGATGCTCTCAGGCCCATCTTCCTAGACATCACTCTCAGAATTGCTTCTCCATTGTTCAGGTTCCATACTGGGCCCCACGGGGCTTGCCACCTCCTGGAAAACACCCAAGGGAGGGCTCCCCTGGTGGCGCAGTGGTTGGGAGTCCGCCTGCCGATGCAGGGGACACAGGTTTGTGCCCCGCTCCGGGAAGATCCCACATGCCGCGGAGCGGCTGGGCCCGTGAGCCATGGCCGCTGAGCCTCCGCGTCCGGAGCCTGTGCTCCGCAACGGGAGAGGCCACAACAGTGAGAGGCCCGCGTACCACAAACAAACAAACAAACAAAAACACCCAAGGGAAAGTGGGGACTCTACCCCGGTCTCCTCTCAAACCTAACCCAAGTCATGAGCCGTTGAACCAGCTTGGGATCATTTTTAAAGGGATTCTGCCCAAAAGAGTATCTCTTGGACAGCTGGGGAAAACCAGACATGGAGAAAGGACCACGAGCCTTCCAAAAGAGAGGTGCTACCCATGTCAGGGGGACTGCAGTGAGGGGTTCAGCAGGGGTTCAGCCACACAAAGGCACTCAGGATTAAACATCAGTCAGATGGAGTGGGGAGAGCAGAGCCGTAACAACTTCCTTATCCCCCTTACTCTCCAGTCCATTGCCCCACCCAACCCTAGTGTGGTCATAAACAGCAGCTAGCGAGATGGGGAAGAGTTGGTGATTGAGAGAGAGGAACTTGCTATTTTATTAGACAACTTTCTGTTCTACTTTTTTCTAGCCACATCCATGTGTAACTTAGATGCAAAAATTTTTTAAATTAAAATTCATGAAATGTACATTAACCATTGTATATAATCAAATAATTATGCAGACCGTACCACTCTAAATGAACAATCTCCAATTTCAACTGAGCCTTCAACTCAGGCCAGGAAGTCTTCTATCTCCTTTAGGCAGCTTGCTTTCCCAGATACACAATGATGATTTCAAACTCTGACCCACTCAATCTACCTGCCCTTCGCCCAATCACGGCTCTCTCAGAAAATAGCCATGCCTCCCACATTTCAGGCTAACACCCATTTGGGCTTTGTATCCATTCTCTCCTGCCTCCTCAATAACCTTGTTCTTTCAGTTTTGTCCATTCTGCTCTTTACAGTGTCATTTTTGCTGGCTCCTTCCCAAAAGGATTTAAACATGCACAAGGCCTTCCACCTTAAAGACAACACTTCTGGATCCTGTGTCCCCCTCTAACTACTTTCCTTTCCCTCACAGCCAAGCATGAGAGGCTTGCCCATACTTGCCGTACCCAGTCTTTCCCACCAGCCACTCACCACCCACTGTACGTTGGCTGCTGCCCAGCACTCCACGTAAACTGCTCTCTGAGCCCCCAGTGACCTCACACTGATAAATCCAGTTCACATCTGAGTCCACATCTTGCTGGACCTCTGTATCACGTGAGAATGCTTTGGATTGCAAGTAACTGTCTTCGAGTGGCTTAAACAAATAGGAGTTCTCTGCACATAACAGGATATCCGGAAGTAAGCAGCTGCTGGTGTTGGTTCAGTGGCCCACAGCGTTAGGGCAGCCTTTCTAAATTCTCTCCCACTTCCGTCCATGATTGAGGATGACTGCTGAGACGGTACGTCCCCATTCAGGGCTGGAGGAAGGGGAAAGGTCTGCACCCGTCACTTGTCTCTTTTATCAGAAAAGCAAGATTTCCCAAGTTCCCCTTCTGTCTCATTGCCCAGAACTATGTTACCTAGCCATCTAGCTGCAGAAAAGATGGGGAAGTGAGTGTTTAACGTTTTTTAGCCTTCATTGTGGAGACAGACAAGAGAGAAGGGTGTTGAAAATGGAAACTGGGCTACCACCGACTCAAACTCATCCGCGTTGGCCCGGTGTAGCTCTTTGGTTACCTGAAACCCATGCGCATCCCTCTTTCTCACATACACATCTGACATGCGGGGAGCTCACTCCATAGAGGAGGTAATCCTAGAGTCCCAGCCAGCTCCTACATACAGCTGGGAGTCCAGGTACTCTGTGTACTGTGCAGGCCCCTTTCAGTTCCAGATGTGGCTTCTCATGGTTGGATGATTTAAGCTAAGACAAGTTCATTTTCCGCTAAAATGAGAAAGATGGGACGTACCAAGTGTTGGAGAGAATGGGGACCAATAGAACTCTTGCTGGAGTGTAAACTGACACAGCCACTTGGAAAACCTTTTGGCACTACCTAATATAGCTGAACATCTGCATTCCCAGGAGCCAGCAGTTCTACTCCTAGGTTAATACCTGACAGAGACCTGAACAGTTGTGCAAGAAAAGACATGTTCTACAATGTTGAAGTCGCATAATTTATAACAACCTAAAATTGGAAACCACCCAGATATCCACTGACAGTAGAAGGGAAAAGAGAATAGCATACAGAGATGAGAATGAATGCTCTAAATCTACACACTATGAATGAATCTCAACATAATGCTGAGTAAAAGAAGCCATAGATAAAAGAGTATGTACTGTGTGATTCCATTTACAGAAAATACAGAAACAGGTAAAACTGCTCTGTGGTATTAGAAGTCAGGATAGCAATTACCTTTTAGGAAGAGGGTGGTGCTTGGAAGGGAGCACAAGCGGGTCTCCTAGGGTGTTGGTAATGTTCTGTTTCTTGATCTGGGTGCTGGTTATATGGGGGTGTTCAATTTCCGAAAATTTATTGAGCTGTATGCTTTTCTGTATGGGTACTTTTGTGTATACTATTCTGAAATAATAGAAAAAAACCCATATATTGACATATATGCCCCTGGTTCCTGGCACAGAGCTTCTAAAACACTTGTAATTTCACAAGGATAAGAAGCATCTTTCGTTCTAATACTTGGCCTTTGACCCTGGTTCCAAATCCTTTGGAATTTCCTTGGTGATAGGCGTGTCCTTTGTTCTAATATGGTGACCCTTGGGGGGCCCCTGGATGGCTTCAGGATGGGTCTGATCACCATAAAGACCAAATCATGATTAGACACTTTGAGCTTTTAGCTCTACTCACTATCCTCCAAGAAGGGGAGAGGGACTGGAGATTGAGTTAATGATCAATTATGCCTATGTGAGGAAGCCTCCATGAAAATCCCAATAGTACAGGGTTGGAGAGCCTCTGGGTTGGTGGAACACATCCACGTGTCTGCAGGATGGGGCACCCCAGCTGCAAAGGGACAGAGGCTCCTGTGCTTGGGACCCTTCCAGACCTCACCCTATGTATTTCTTCATCTGACTGTTCATCTGTACCTGTTATGATATCCTGTGTTATATAATAAACTGGTAAATGTAAGTGTTTCCCTGAGCTCTGTGAGCTGTTCTAGCAAGTGATCAAATTCCAGGAGGGAGTCATGGGAGCCTTCAATTTGTAAAGTCGGACAGAAGTCATGGGTAACCTGGGGACCTACTAATTGTGCTTGGCATCTGAAGTGGGTGGCAGTCTTATGGGGCTGAGCCCTTTACTTGTGGGGATTGTACTAACTTCAGTTAGTGTCAGAATTGAATTGCACTGTAGGACACTCAGCTGGTGTTGTAAGGAATTGCTTGGTGTGGGGAAAAACCACACATCTGCTGTCATTAGTATTGTGTGTGTGAGTAAAGGGAAACAGAAGTGTGTTTTTTCTAAACAATCGTGCATCAATAAAATGTAAAAAAACAGAACCAAACAAAAAATACAGGGAAACACATTCAATGCACAATGTGAAAAAATAATAAATACTTCCTTTCAGAAAAAAAGAATGGAAAATACGTAGTATCCCCCAGTCAGTGGCAGTGTATAAAGTTCTTGTTGGGAAATCTGGCAGCCCTTCCCTTGTTTAAACAGGAACAGACCAATGTTGACCAGGCTTGAGATTTTAGGGACACATGATTGCCTCAATCATTTGTTAGGCTTCTGGTCAATTCCATACATGAGTAATCACAATCAAATAACTTATCTAGGGAGTCTTTAAATGGTTTTCTAATGAAAGATTATCTTTTCCCCCAAAATAATTAATATATTTACTTGATTTTTTAAAAATTAAAGCCAAACAAAAAGATATAAAATGAGGTCTTATTCTCACCTCTGTTCTCTTTCATTAGTTTCTTGTGTATACCTCAAATGTTTCTTTCTGCAAAACAAGCAAAGCCAACTATTAGAATATTTAAGCCTTCTAGGGGCTGGTATCTGTGTGCTTAATTGCAGTGGAGACAATTCAAAACACAGCAGGTACAGAAGCCACCTATAGTCCATCTTTGCTACCTTGGGCCTCCATCTTCTCTCCTGATAAAGCTGCCTCTTCCCTGTCTCCATTTGCGCTGGCTTCAGCTTGGGTATTTAAAGAAAATTATTTATTTCAACCCAGCAAGTCTCCAAATTGTGGGACTCAGCTAATTTAGGTTGTAAACTGCAGGTAAGATGTTCCTTTCCCACCAAGGCCTTATTTTCTTTAATCTCTGCTTTCCAATCAGTTATCTCTAATCTGGATTTGCCACTCTCTTGAAGGACTTTGCTGAAAGCTACTTAAAAAAGGAAAAAAAGAAAAGCCAACAGTCATGAATGTTCTGTATTGTTCCTGAGATTTCTCCTGCAATACAACTTTGGTTGGCATGTGGGTTTTTCCCAAGGTCCAGCAAGTGACAGCAGTTTAACAGTTTAACTACTGCTTAACATGTAGGTCACCAACTTTCCATTTGGAATAGAGTCTTTACCACTGGCTACCTTAACCTTCTGTTAGCCAATTTCACGTTTTAGTATCTGTTTTTTTTTGTGTCCTACTTCTGGTACCAAGTTATTTGCCTGTTAGGAATGGGTTCAGCTACAAGTTATAGAACGCTCACCTATAAATGGCTTAAACAATTGACTCATGGACTAAAATGGGGCAAGAATGAAGGTAGGTAGCAGATGATAGTTTCCTGGATGTCAATTATACCTCAATAAAGTTGAGGGGGCAAAAAGGATGGCTCCTCGAGTTTGGCTTGAACAACTAAATGGATGGCAGTGATAGTCACTAAAATGGGAAAAACAGAGAGGTACACATTTAGGGGTGAAAATGAATATTTTGGTGGGCCAAGTTAAATTTGCGATGCCAGTTAGACACTCGTGTGGAGACGTCAAGTAAGCCGTTGTTTAGAGGAGTGAGGACTTACAGGCAGAGGTCATTGTTAGAGATCTACCTTTTGGAGTCATCTGCTTGCAAATGGCAGCTAAAGCCATACGACCAGATGAAATCACAGAAGGACAGTGGGTAGGGAGACAAAGAAGGGGACTAAGGATAGAACACTAAGCACTCTGATATTTACAGGTTGAGCAGAAGATGAGAAGTCAGTGAAAAGAACCCAAGAAAGAATAGTCAGTGAGGTAGGAGGAGGACCAAGAGTACATGGCATCAGAAAACAAGAGAAGAACGTGTTTCAAAGTGGGGATAGCTGACTGTGAGGAATAGTACTGAGAGGGCAAGTAAACACAGAGGAGAAGCACCACTGAATTTGCATGGAGATGTAGTTTCAGCAGTGTAGCGGGGAAGAAACCAGAGCAAGATTATATGATCGTGGGGATGGGCTATTAGAGGGGGAGTAATTGGTGATTCTAGAGAGAGAGAGAGAGAGAGAGAGAGAGAGAGAGAAAGAGAGAGAGGACAGAGAATAAGATCCATAGAAAAAGTGTAGGCGTTGGTTAAATAGAATGAGAATGCTTTATCCATCAGATACTGAGCTTGTTGAAGGAAGAGATCATATCTCGTTTGTATTTGTTTCTCTGGTAACTCCTAGCACAGTGCCTAGTACCCAGGAGGTACTCAAGAAATGTTACTGAATTAATGAATAAATGAGCAAATGGTAGAATGGATGCATGGCAGAGGGAGGGCTGAAAAATGAACTAGATCTATAACTAACTCAAACTTCAGGGGAAGGAAAGGGGAAGGAGCCTGGAATTAATAGGGTTTCTTCTATCCTACAAAGCCCCTGCTCTCTTGCCACACGGTCAGAGAAGGGAGGAAATAAAGATTTCTGAACTTCACTGGAAAAACAGTGCCTTCTCTGGGCTATTAAGCTATTAAGTGATTCTTGATCCTAGACCATGTTTTCACCATCCATGTTTATTTCTTCATTCTGCCAACACATAAAAAGATAGGAAGCCCGGGTGCCTTGTTCTCCCAGTTCCCAGACACCCGACATGGTCCTCTCAACCAAGTCCCTGCATCTTCTTCAGTCCCTGGCTGAGACCCCGACAGTTCCATATTTCCTGGGGTTATTTGGAATTTTTCCTTAGAGATGCATCTTACCTATCTAAGGATCAGTATATCCGAAGTACACAAAGTTTCCTGTTTTCCTCCATCCTGAATTCCCCTCGGGGCACACTGTTGGTGGTCAATTGCAGTGGCTAATGGCTTGATCCTTGTAGAACTGGAATGGCACGCAACACTTTTTTCCTTTACGCTATTATCTTTCTTCCCAACTTGCAGTCAGAGGAACCCAGGAACCTGTAAATGTGGAGGTGGAGTTGGAGCTGAAAGCCAGTTTTGACACCCGCTGCATCCGCTTTCGCCACCTTAGGTCCTCGCCCTACTACGTCCCTGGGGCTTCCGGGGTTGCCTAGCAACCTGCGGGGACTCTGGGGGTTCAGGTGGCCCAACCGAGTGTCGCCCTCGGCAAAGTAGGCAGAAGAAATGCCTCCGCCCAGCCCTTACTGGGCCTGAGCCCGTTACACGCGGAATCAGCCCAGCAGCCCGGCGCCGGGCAGGGGCGGGGCCCGCGCGCCAATGGGCAGGCGGAAGGGGTGCGCGTGCGCACAGCGGGACGGGGGTGGGGCGGGGCCGAGAAAAAGCGTTCTGAGGACGGGTGCTGGTGAGGCTCACGCCGTAGGGCTTCGTGTCCGGAGAAAGCTGTTTGGCAACTGCTAGCTGCGAGGGTGAGTGAACCAGGGAGCAGCCGCAATCTGGCTGCGGCCTGTGAGGCCTGTGACCCGACCTTGGAGGAGGAAGTCCGTGGGACGGCATTCAGGGGTCCGCAGCGGGGCGGGATCCCGGCGTCCCTTTGGGGGTCTCGGGGCTTCTGGCTCAGGTTGGGAGGCAGGAGCGGCCTGGGTGAGGGTATCGGACCCCAAGTCGGTCCGGGAAGCTAGCTGACTAGGAGCAGAGCCTCTCCCCCGGGGCAGATGGGCCCGATCAGGGCCAATCTCTGCCCTCTTGGAGACCTGCCGTGGACCTGCGCGCTGGCCTGAGTCGTAGCTCTCCATCTGCTCCTGTACCCCATCTCTCTCTGGGGGAGACAATAAACAGGTCCTGTCGGGCGGGCGAGCTTGGCCAGGCCGTGCCAGGGGAGTGGGGAGGCAGGGGGAGCTTGTATTCCCCTCTAGTATTCCCTGTCTGGGCATGGCACCCGCCATCCACCCAGTTGCCCAAGCAGAAACCTGGGCATCATTCTCACCTCCTACACTCTTTACCCACCCACATCGATTTCATCACAAATCTCTCTGGGATACACCTACTTCTCCACGCCCAGTTCCTCTGCTCTAGCTAGTTCAGGCCACCCTCATCTTTCCCTTGGACTACTCAGTAGCCTCCTGACTGGTCCCCTGTATCCCTTCTCCATCCTCTGTAGTTTGTTATGTAGTGGAAAGCCAGAGTGATGGTCTTAAAACAGAAATCTGATCACGTCACCAGACCCCTCTCCCCATTCCCTTATCGCCCTTCCGTGGATTCCCATTGCTCTTATAACCTCTTGAACAGGGCTTACAAGGCCCACCAGTTCTCAATCCCCAACCCATGTAGAGCTTTCTTTGCCTAGGAACCTGGTTCTTTTCTTGCTTTCAGTCCAGGACCATGGTAGTTTTAAATGGGGAAATGCCAGTCAGGTTTTTCTTTGGCATCACCTCTGGCTACAGGATGTGTGGCTGCTTTGAGGTTGATTCTCAGCTGAGGGCCCCAGCAGGAGAGAAAAGTGGCTAGCAGCTGCTGTGGTTTTTATGGGAGGAAGGCTCGCTGCAAACTCTTAGGTGTTGGTAAGACACAATGAGCATGGGCCTGGCCAAACCACTGGTGGGACGGCTCCAAAGGGAAGTTTTTTTTTGTTTTTTTATTTTGCGGTACGCGGGCCTCTCACTGCTGTGGCCTCTCCCGTTGTGGAGCACAGGCTCCGACGCGCAGGCTCAGCGGCCATGGCTCACGGGCCCAGCCGCTCCGCGGCATGTGGGATCCTCCCAGACCGGGGCACGAACCCGCGTCCCCTGCATTGGCAGGCGGACTCTCAACATCTGCGCCACCAGCGAAGCCTAGTTATTTTTTTTAGTGTAGTCAGATCCTCTGTGATAGGGAACAACACACCTAGGTTGCAGGATCCACTGCCCTGATTCAGAGTGAAGGTGTGCTATGCCAGGTCAGCTCAGCACTTTGTAATAAATTCACTAGGGTAAAGGAGAAGCAGAGAAAATAGGTTCCCTGTCTTCAGAGAGGGAGAGAAAAGAGAAAAAACAAACGGAGCACAATATGTGACCATATGTTAAGGCCAAGTGAGTGTGAGAGACTGCAAACTGAGGTCAGAGGAGGGAACAGTTGGTCTTGGCTGGGAGAACACAGAGGTGACATTTGAATTGGGCCTGGAAGGAACAGGGAGGACGGACAGGTGGAACCAGTGGGAACAAATGCTCTGGGACTGGAAGAGGCTGCTGGAGCTGTGAGGGAAGCCCAGTTACAGTCAGGGCACTGCGGGAGCTCCCTACCATCAGTGGTCTAGCGCTTCTTCCCAGGAATGACGCTTCTCCTTGTGAAAGGTGTCTCAATGGTTGTGTTCCACTCTCTCAGAAATCTCTCCTCTGGATTTTTCTCCAGCCTAGCCTTTAATTTCTCAGAGGCCAGTGAGCCCAGGAACTCCTGGGGCTTATCTGCCAAGCTCTTTGCTTATGGCCTTGAGCTAAGTAGTTGGATGATGCAACTTGTTCTTGGTGGAAGGGACTTGCTAATGTTTCCTTTTCAATGTGAGTGGTTTAATTTGTTAAGTGGCAGTCAGATTCCCTGTGCTCCTGTAGCACTTGTAGGTGGGAGTTTCTCTTCTGTGTTTGTAGATTTGTCTTTTGTTGTGGTCTAATGGTTAGAAACCTGCCACAGCAGACCAAAATGGGCTAAGTCCAAAATGTATGGTTCTTGACCTTTATCCTGTCTCCTATGAAGAGGGGATAATTTGGACTCAAGCACTGGGTTGCTTCTTGGTGTTATTTAAATAGAACCTCTCCCCCGCCTACCCCACCCCTATCTGATATACTAAGTATCCAACCACATAGTTATAGGAAACGGTGCCATGGGTCCGATGACCACTCAGCTTTTCTATCTGATAGATGCCTCCAAAGCTAAGTTTCATCCTCAGTTACATTGACATCAAAACTTGGCAGCATTATCTGTGAAGGTGGTAATCGCCCCCAGCTCCCGAGGACCGTGGCACACAGGCTGAGAATCACCAGCCTCTGTGCAGGCACTGTGCCCAATGCTGGGCATGTGGACGCAGTCCCCGGCCTCCCAGAGCCCAGTTCCGCAGGGGGTACTGAGAGGTAATCAGGCACGTTCAAGGTCGTGTGCACAGCCGTTGTCAGCGATGGACAGGACCCTTCTGAAGGGAATCACTTAGGAGCATATGGGAAGAACGCCTAAGCCAGACTTGGAATTGAAGAAGGCTTGCTGGAGAAAGAGACATCTAATGCATATGAATCTGAAAGACTTGGGAGGAGCTGGCTTCCCCCTCTGGTCCCTCTTGTCCCAGAACACTATGGTGTGTGGTCAGAACAAGTTGTTCTGCTCTAGTTGGGGCAGTCTCTGCTGAGAGTAACTTGAGACCTTGTTTTCTGGTACCAGGTACAGTGACAGTGGCCTCATCAGGGTCTGGACACTTTTATTTGGTAAGATTGGGATGTAGTTTCTGGCTGCTCCTGAATTATTTTGTAGAGATGAGACTTAACTGGAATCCCCCTTTATATTCCATCCATATAGTCTGGAACAAAATTATGGGATGAATTGCATTAAATACATATTTGTAAAGACAAAACATGTTTATAGTAGAAATTTTAGAAGCAATAGAAAAGTAAAGAGAAGAAAAAATCAAAATCACTCCTGGGGACTTCCTCTGTGGTCCAGTGGTTAAGACTCCGAGCTTCCACTGCAGGGGGCGTGGGTTAGATCCCTGGTCGGGGAACTAAGATCCCACATGGCATGGGCAAAAAAAAAAAAAAAAAAAAAAAAATCACTCCTAATCTCATAATTCAGAAAATAATCTTTGTTAATAGTTTTTAGTCATTGTTCTGTGTATGAGAAATATACATACATTGTTTTGGTTTTTACAAAAATGAATTCTTCTTTTTTGTTTTTTGACTGTACCACATGGCTTGTGGGATCGAAGTTCCCCAACCGGGGGTTGAATCGGGCCCACAGCTGTGAAAGCACTGAGTCCTAACCACTGGACTGCCAAGGAATTCCCCCAAAATGAATTATTCCTTACAGATTTTTGTAGCCTGCTCTCTTTCTCTTGGTATATATTGAACGTCTTTTTCTGTTTCTGTTATGAATTATGACGATTGCATTATGATGTCCCTATTCAGTTGTGAGACTAGATGCTTCTTTTTATACCCTAGAAGTTATACATCCCAGTGACCATTGTCTCCTTCGGGAGGATACTGCTGATATCCAGCAAAGTGGGTTTGGGAAATTTTCTTAAACATTGTGGGGATGGCATTCTCCCAGGGTCCTACCCTACACAGAGCCTTTCAGGACGGGTGAGAGGGGCTGTAACACCTCAGTGGAGGTGGCGACGGCTTCGGAGCTGAGCCCTCTGTGGCATGTGCGAGGGTCTGACTGGTACCTTATGCTTTCTCTTCGCTGCTCTAGGTTTTTTGGCTGCAGCTGGCCCCTTAGAAATCACTGGCCCTTATTATCCAGGGAAGTGAATGTGTGAGTCAGGTGTTTCCTTTGTGTTGTATGGAGGTCTCCTGGCTATCCTTCACCTTCCTTTCTGAGGTCAGTCTGTAAGCCCCTGGAAAGACCAGGACTTTCTGTTTAACAGCAGTTAGTAAAGGCCTGAGCCTTGGTGGGGATACGGATGGGAACAAAGCACTCCTGCCCTCGGGGAGCTTGCTGTGTAGCCAGTTGTGTCTTCTTGTTGACCACGATTCCAAGTCTAGCTAAACCCCAGAAGTACTTGACGGAACCTAATTCCTATGGAACTCTCCTCTCCAGCGCTCTTCACCTGGTTCAGTTACTTGCCTCCGTCACAGCCCTGGGAGGTGGACAAGGCAAGGGTTAACGTCCTCTTTTCCGTGTCCACCACTGCGGGCCTTGATCTGACCCGCCCCGTTGCTTCCCTCAACCCCCGTCTCTGGACTCACTCCACCTAATACCTTCCCTGCTGTGCTGCCAGCTGAGCCACTGTGAAACCAAGCTCTGATCTCGTCTCCCATTCATGAACCCTCAGTGGCTCCCATGTATCCCCAGGAAACTTCAGCCCCCTTGGCCTGGCGGGCAAAACCACATCCAGCACGGCCTGGTCAACCTCTGCAGCCTGTTGTCTACCGTTCCGTCTATTTCATACCCTCTAAGCTCCGGCCTGACTCAACCACTCGGAATTTCTCTCCCACTTGTCTGCGCCTGCCCCTCTGCTCGCACCTTCCCTTCGTCCTTCAGTCCGTCCACATCCACTGTGTGCCCATCCATCCGGGCCCTGCTGAAGTATCCCCGTGTCTGTTAACCTTCTCTGGCTTTCCCTCGCCCAAAGGAAACTTCTTCCTCTGAAT